AGCGAAATGCAATGATGAAGTGATGAAGAAATTGGAAAAAATCAACACAACTGAAAAATTTGCAACACCCGAAGAATTGGCTCAACGCATCAATAAAGTGCTCTATTTTGCAACCAACACCGGCTGTGCATTCTACAAGAACTTTTACGAAAGTAAATATAATTTGTTTTACTGACAACATTTATTGTTTTTAAGTCACTTCATTATGTTCATTATTTCTGCTTTTGAAATTCTATCGTGAATTTTATCGCGTGTATTGAATGCTAAATTTCATTTTGTGATTTGTGGTTTTTTCATCAGATACTAAAGCGAAGTTTGACCAAATCGGACAGAACAAAAAAATAGTCGAGAATACACTCACCACTCTGAAAGTGATCGAAATTCTCGTACAAACAGCATGTACCAACCTCGATATAATCAAAGGTAAATTTAATTGCTCTTTCTTTTTTTCAATTCAGATCAACTATTCAGAGAACTAATCCAAAGAAATGTTGATTTTTTTCTTCTTTTATAGAATCAATGGAACCATCAATAATCACACCGATTCCATCAGCAACTACACCGATTCCATCAACAACTACACCGACTCCGTCGCGCTCTTCAGCAGCACCAGCCATTTGCCCACAACCACCATCTCAACAAACCTCAAGTGCAACTGAACGTGGTGGCATTAATATTTATAATTTTGGCCATATCTTCCACTTCGATGCTCCAGATAAAAAACCGTAGACATCGAAGAGAATCATCATATTTCAGCTCGTATGAATCGTATGGATTCTTAATTGAATAAATTCATGAGATTACATTTTGTCATTTATAAAATATTTCAGAATAATAAACACAAAATGTATTAAATTCAAATCAATTGGTTCATTTTCTGCTTTTCGAGTATTTCGTTTGGGTGTTTTGCGATTGTTCAGCATTACATGAAACAAAGCAAAGCCGTTAGTGTGCACGAACATACAAACGACGAAGAGAAGGAGAGAGATAGAGAGAAAACGCTTTCATTTCATTTGTCGAAGATTTGCTTGTATGTGTGCCTATTCGCCAGAGATGTTTGAAGCCCACCGAGTCACCGAGCAACGGCCGTACCGCAACCGAGCTTATGTGCGTCAAACATGCAACACCTGCGTCAGAGTTCACCAGAGCACTTGTGTTGCATTTTGCTTTTTTCGTCGTTCTAAATACTTTATATTTTTGGTCAAATTCAATTTTTTTGTTCAATATTTGATTTGGTATTTGCTATGCCGTTTGCATATTTTATTCCTCTCGCGCTCTTTCTCAATTCGCCACATCTCGTTCGGTTGTGAGTGCACGCGCGAGCGAGCGAGCGCTCATTCGCAATGTGTTTTGTCCTCTTTCTTCCATTTGTATATCGTTTTGTTTTGCATCAACGAAAGCCGTCGTCGTGTTCATTTGTTGGTTTGACCGTGTGCACACTTCGCTCGGTACACTGTTTGTTTCGTGCGGAATTGAGAGCAAAATGCGAGAGCCAAAGAGACACAAACACACGACAAGAAACAGACAGAGACGAAAGCCGCTCTCGTGGATCGCTTTCAGTAGATTACCACAAAGCAACAGAAAAATTGTTGCTCTTTCACGTCGTTTTGAAAAAAGGTCTTCATTTATTTTTGAATCGTTTACTTGGGTAACATGTAGATGTTACCGCGCATTTTCATCGTTTGCAAACTTTCATGCGAACAAACGAGAAATAGGGACAGCGAGTGGGTGAGTGAGAGCAAGAGAGAGGGAGAGAGAGAAATTGTGGTTGTGAATGAATTGAGGGAAATGATCAAATATACACATTTTCAACCTCATCTGTCATCAAATTACGATTTTCTGCCTGCAACTGAACGCATTCTGACTTAATTCTGATGGTCTTGATTCAGAGTCAATGTTTGTCGCGCGTGAAATGTATGTACGCGTGTATTTGTGCGATGTCATTTGAAATTAATTAGATTTGTGTTGATCGACAACAATTGCCAGAAATGCATGTACAAAATAAATGTCAGCATGCCTGATATAGATATATAATGCACTATCGAATCGATCAATCGACACAAGGATTTGCATTTGCATCGTTCTCAAATCAATAATTGCATTTATTTATGATTTATATGCTCGATTGAAATGATAGCAAACATGTTTTTGTTCTGTCTCTCGGTCTTTCTTTCATTGGCATCAACTTTCTGTTGTGCCAATATTTGAATACTTTCAGTTCATGTAGCGAAACACACAAGCAAAAACAACAATAACGGAGCGGAGAAAAAAAAAGAGATTCAATTTGAATACCATCAAATATCATGTGAAATACACATGTTATTATAACTTTATTGAAACTAATATAACCAAATAACCTGTAAATCACTATATATGTACTAGCCGGGCACAGTGCGAGCGAGCGAACATAAGGCGCTCTCGCACACAACAAATGGAAATAAAATGAACGGAAAATGAGAGTAATAATAATAAACGTCAAGTGGCAAACGAAATTATATATGGTTTGATTATATTCGAACTTTATCTTTACGGTGTTTTTGCGTGTCCAATTGTGCTCACAGCAAAACTCACTTTTATTTATATGATTTTAATAGGTGCATTTTGTTGTTGTTGTTGTTGTTGTTGTTTGGCGCGCGAGCAAGGTAAATTTAAACCTGATGTGTGTGTGTGTGTGTTGTTTGCTACAACATTGGCCGAGAGTGCGCGGAATAAGAGCAATCAGTTCTGTCGCGATCTCGAAAAAGCGACGAGATAGAAAATGTCATTTGCTTTTGAATTGGTATGAGCCAGCACAAGGTTTGATTGTGCGCGCACTCGGTGTGACTGACTATTTTGCCAGGCATCTCTCATTCACATTGGCCAACCGACTCACATGCACTCTGCTGCATTTAAAATAATTGAGCATTTGTTCCGTTTGTTGACCAGTGCAGTTTCATGTTCGGACTTATTATTGCTATTATTTGCGCTTTTTGTTGTCTGTTTATTACATTTTCACGATGCGAATGCGTTGCCGCTATGCTCTGTTCTGTTTTTTTTCTTCTTCTTTGCTTCCCAGCACTGTTGTGGCACTATATTGAGTTGACCAAAACCGAATGAGAAGCTATACGCACGTATATTTTAAATGGATGAAACGATAAAAAAAAGGCCATGCTTATCGCTGCATGCAATATTCAAAACGACAAGTACATCGATCTTTGGCGAAAGTGAATGACTGGATTATGGAAAGCCAAGTGTCACACTCCATATATTCAAAATAGGTTAATGTGAGTGATTTAAACCTGGACAATAAATCTAAAGACTTCACTTTTCCCTAAAATGCCCTGCAATTTCATTGAAATTAAACACGATAGAAAGAAAAAACTGAGTGCAAACTAAAAAAAACACACACACTTTGCTCAAGAATGTTTCGGCTCTGCTGCTTATGATGTAGCTATCATCTTCTTCATCGTCTGTCATAGATACAGCGAACGAAAAAGAAACCGAGGTGCACATTGAATGTGTGAGCAACAACAAAATTGCCCGGCAGTCATTTGCGATAATTCACATCGGGTGAAAAGCAACGGCGGCAGCATACAGAGAATTTGGCTCGATTCAGTGCGGTGCAACTGAGCTAGTTGCAGTAATTGAGTTTTATTATGTTTTAGCTGCTTAATTTGTGTGTGTGCGCGCATATAGACGATTCACGACAGAATGCTTACGGAAACCTGCATAATTTCCATGCCAATCTCCTATGTCATCCAATTTGCGTGTATGCGTGCGCGATGCGTGCGCGATGCGTGCGCGCGCTCTCTGCTGCACTGATAATTAAACGCAAAACGTTACTGCGCATGTAATTTGAGAGAGTGAGTGAAAGAGATTAAGTTGCATTTTCAAATCTTCAGCTCTGTGTCGCATTATTACACGACGGTTAGCAGTAATAATGTCAATAATAAAATACAAATTGTGTTTACTATGTTTATATACATATTTAAGCCGATTCAAAGCGAGAGTAACATCAACAGAACGCACGGATAAATGTTTGTTTGCGCGAGACAGGGAGAGAGTATGTGGAATAGAGAAATCTCAAATGTAAACCACACAATCGCACACATGCACACACACACGTAGGCAATTGAGGCTTACGAGCACAAAATTCACAATTTTAATTACGGTTGTAAATAAAAATACCTTTTAGAAGTGTTAAAAACGAAATTAATTATGATTGCACTTGAGGCATTACGTCGGTTTACTCTACAGATAGATAGACAAAACAAGAAACACGAACTGACATCGACGATACAATATCACGTAATATGCAATTACACAAAGCGAACGAACGAACGAAAGCGAGAGAGCGAGAGGGAAAGCGTGTGTGTGTGTGAGCGCTCGCGCCAACCAATGAATGAATGAAGTGACAGCAAACATAGCGTTCACTTTAAATGGATAATTGTAATCGATGATTGGGCGATTTGTTGCAGTTAGTTCGTTTAGTTTTAGTTATTGCTCACATAAATTGCATCTGTATAGTATGCATGGCGCATTGTACATACAAACAGTAATTACCAAGTTTTAATTCGATTTTAAAGTCGTCGTTGCCGTTGTTGTCATTTGCACGGCAAACATGTCATTTTCAATGTGAATGTGTTGTCAACTCGAAAATGTGCGCTTTTTTGTCGTTTTTCGAATCGAGCCGAGTTCGACGAGACACACACCGAGAGAGAGAGAGAGAGTGAGAGCAAACGAATGAGTGAATAAAATGTTGAGAGACAAAAAAAAGCGTAGCAACCGAATCAAGTGTCGTAATAGTTTCGGTTACTAATTTATTCCAAGGCATATTCATGGCGTGTGCGCATTTTGTTTTTTTCTCTCTGTTGTTGGCTCCTTTGTTTTCCATCAATCCATGTTGACCGGCTAACCGATTCCTTACCTCTTATTATTTATTACAGCAGTGACAAAATGTACCGCGCAAAAAATCACATCAATTGATGTAATATCAATGTAATTTGGCATTTGCTTCAAAATTGATACTAATACCATATTTTTCTGCTAACTGCTACTGCGGCCTGCCAACTAACGCAATCAATAGCGCTGATTTGCACTTGTACAATCATACATCTATTATATTACTAAAACCATAATTCGACAAATTAAGTCGATGCTATAGTCAGTCACACCGAATGCACATAATACCAGTAATTAGGCTAGCTATCGATTTGCCACACCAAGCTGTCAAATGCTCGGTTTCTTGTGGCTTTTTCTATTTTTGATGTGTTTTTTTTTTCGCTTGTTCTCTCTCTTTCTTCGCCATTCAACATTTATCGGGCAGTTTTTGTCACGTCTTTGAATTGCATTTTGAATAAAAGTCATACGGTTGATTTATGACACATACGGTGAACGAATTATGAGGCACCGAACAGCCAGCTCATGGCAATGAAGATATTGCTCAATGACTTAAAATGATTTTCCATATTTTAAAACGAACTGGATTTTGTCACCAAACATTGAAATACTATTAAAATATATTGAAAGGCATTTTTCATTGTGATATAATTCCTCCTATACCTGTTCTTCCTTCATTTCTATCTTTCCCAAAATAGTTTTCACCTTTGTTCTTTCACATTCTTTCTGTCTTTAAATAAGAACATTGCATTCGGAAACGACCTTTGGGATTTCAAAACAGTTTCAAATGAGTGTCATCTCTTCGGGCGCAGTTTTTCTAAAATTCTTTTGTCAGTTCAGTTTTGACTTTCAAATAAAGAGCTTGTTGTGAACGAAACATACATTGAAAAAATCATTAGAATCAACATTTTTGAACGCAAGAAACAACATAATTTGGGATGAAAAAGATGAGATAAATCTTTGCTGTCGTTCGCTTCACAAGTGTAATGCACATAAGCATGTGGAACTAAATCAAACAACCG